GCCAGGCAGCTTTGCTGCTTGGGGCACAGACCCAAAACTTGAAGGACTGTCTTGATTTGTTAAATGTAGCAGCTTTTGTTTGTTTTCTTGCAAGTGTTTTCCAAATATTGAGGTTTCTTCCAAGTGTTTTGCAAATATTTAGGGTTTAGCTTTTACAAAATCTGTTCCCAGTGCAGCAGGCAGAGAAAAAGGGGATTTTTGATGCTTTTTGAAGCTTTGAAGGCATTGGGATTGCCTTGCTGCAAGGGGAACAGGGATCCTGGTCCCAAAGCTGGGGACGAGCTCTCTGCTCTCTCAGAATTTAATTCATTTGGAGGCTGCAGCACTATTATTTTTTAATAAGAGCCATTGGCAGGGCTGCTCAGGTCCCCAGTGTGCTCCTGCCTCCTCCCGGCATCGCTCCCCTTCCCACCCCTCCTGCCCCTGTGCCAATTAAAAATCCTGCCTAATTGCTGCCCTTCTGCCCTGCCAGCTCAGAGAGGCTGGGCAGGAACAAACCAGGAGCTCAGGGCTGGAAATGCCAGTGCTGTTTTGGAAGAGGGGCAGGGCAGGACAGGGATGGAGGGTGAGCATGAGCAGGGAGGGTGAGCTTGGGTAGGATGCTCAGGGCTCCAGGAAAATGCCCCTTCCCAGGCTGAATGTGGCAGTGGGACCATGTGAAGACAGAGCTGGGGAAGACACTTCTCTTGAGCTGCTTTTTTGGGGTCGAGCCCTCCATTGCAGCTTTTTTCCCCATCTGAAAAAGGGGTGAAAAGCCTTTTCCTTTGGGACCACGGGGAAGGCCAGGCCCATCCCCTGCTCAGGGAAGCTTCCAGCCAGCCACACGTCGCCTTTGGCAGCTTTATAAAGATTCCCTGCCGAGATTACTTCTTTCATTTATTGCAAAATATTGTAGCGCCTTCGATGTGTAAAAATAAGGATTGTCCCATCTTATCTGGGAAGGAATGGGGGGAGGGAGGGAGGGAGCAGCACGTGTCTCTCGTGCTGCTGTTAACCACTGAGGTGCCATGGCCTGCCACATTCCCTCTCAGCTTCTCCCTGAGGAGTCCTTGCTCAGGGCTGTGGTGCTGCTGGTGCTGATCCCCAGATTGTTCCTTCTGTGCACCCAAACATCCTCATGCTCCCCATCTCCTTCCAGAGCTGGGCAGCTGCCAGGCAGTGCAGCCTCAGGGACTGGAAATTGAAGGCACAAATTGCTGGTGCCCGTGTTCATCATCATCCAGGGAAGAGGGAGCCCAGCCAGGGATGTTGTTCCAGCACCATCCTGAGGGTCACACAGGCACCTGGGCTGTGGGAGCTGAGTGGAGCTTCCTGCTGTGTGCTGAGTGTCCGTCCTGCCCTTCCTGGTCCAGAGCATCCTTCCCAGTACTGAGCATCCTTCCCAGTAGTGAGGATCCACTCTGTCCTTCCTGGTTCTTATCATTCCTCCCGGTCCTGAACATCCTTCCTGGTCCTGAGCATCATTCCTCTCCAGGATGCTCCTGGGCATCCTTCCTGGTGCCATTTTGATCCCACAACTGCTTTAACCAATTAAACCAAGCTAACACTGGTTAGCTTCCCTTCTCTTTTTTCTTCCCATCTTCCTTTTTTTCCCTTGACCTCGTGGGCTGTGGCTGTAGCCAGGCTTGGTGTGGGTGTCCCTGGGGACACCAGGGATCAGAGGAATGCAGTGGATGCAGGGCATACTGTGCATGGGGGGGGATTTGGGAGATGCAGGGAATGCTGGATGTGTGGGGGATGTGAGTGATGCCAGCAGCAGGTGGGCACATTTGAGGAGGTTTTGGGAGGGGTTTCTCCCACCTCTCCCACCCTTCCTGCAGCCATCCCTGGTCCCTGTTGGACATTTTGCCTCATCCTGCTGCTCTGGGCACAGCAGGGATGGAGCTCCCTGCTCCATAAACTGGAGATTTATCCTGGACCACAGCCCCAGCAGGGTCTGGGATTTACATCTGTGTCTGGGACTGGGTTTGGTGGCCAATTTGCTAAAGTAAAAAGTTGTTTAGCTGGAGGCATAATCTCATAAGCCCGTGCTGCCATTAGCTGGGGTCTCCTCGCTGCCTTGGCTTTCCAATAATGCTCCAAGCAGAAGCTCAGAGTAATATAAAAAGCCATCGGATTATTACTGCGGGCGATGCATTTTCCATTTACAGTAATAAAATACTGAAGAAACAAAACAATTTAAAATTCCAATAAAATTCAAACCAAATCTTCGGCTGCTGAGCAGATTCAATTATTTAGCCGTTATTGAGTGCAGGCTGGAAAAATAGAGCAGGTCAGGGAGGGAGGGGGATCTTGGCCAGGGAGGGGGGTGCTGGACGCATCCCATGGGAATGAGGGAGGGAGCTGGGAGGCAGGGAAGGAGCTGGGAGGAGGAGGAGGAGTGGCTGGCAGTGCCTGGGCTGGGTTTAGGGATGGCAAGAGGTGGTGATGGCTGTGCCTGGGCTGGGTTTAGGGATGGCAAGAGGTGGTGATGGCTGTGCTGGCAGCCGGGGGATCAGCCGTGCATCCCCGACCTGCAGGCTGCGATGCTCCAGGTTCAGGAGGAGATGGACACAGTGGAAAAACAGCGAGTGGCAGTGTTGAGGCTGGCTCCAGGTTCAGGAGGAGACGGACAGCAAGGACAAACAGCGAGCAGCAGTGTCGGGGCTGGCTCTGATGCTCCAGGTTCAGGAGGAGACGGACAGGAAGGACAAACAGCGAGCGGCAGTGTCGGGGCTGGCTGCTCCCGCCGGTGCCGCGGTGGCTCGGGCGAGTTTGCATCCCGCAGCAATTAGAGCCCCTGGAAAGCAGTAATTACTGCGGAGAGCGGCAGCGCCGCCGCCGCCGCCAGAGCGGCTCTCTGTAATTTTCCCGGCGGGGGTGCGCTGCGTCACCCTGAGATGTGACAACACAACCGAAGCGGTGGCTTGTCACATCCAACGCAGCTGGAGCAAAGAGGTGACAAAGGCTGAGGCGGGCACGCGCCCCGGCTGGCGGGTGGCGATGCCCTCGGATCCAGGCTCGGATCCAGGCTTGGATCCAGGCTCGGATCACCCATCTTGTCCCATGGCACAGGGCCAGCCCTAAAGTGTCACCTGTAGCCTCAGTGCTTGGGGACGAGGTTTTGGTTATCCCCGTCAGGGAGCTGAGCTGTGGTGACCGCAGGTGACACCACTTCCTTCCCTCCCTCTCGCAACAGCTCCTTGGTTTTTTAATGTTTTTTCCTTGGAAAGGAGCGTTTCTACAGTATGGGCTCATTAGGGATTCTGCAAGTGTCACCAGCTAATTAGTGTCATGTTAATTGAGTATTCACAATGCTGCCACCTCCAAGGACAGTGGTGCTGGCATGAAGGGGAATGCAGATGTGCGTGCTGTGCCGTTCCGTGCTGTGCCTCTGGGCAGAGGGGTCCCGTTCTCAGCCCCCTGCACCCACTGGCTTGGGGGGTTCCCATGCCCAGCAGAGCCCCCTCAGTGTGCCCTCACTGCCCTGCTGGCTCTGCAGGAGCTTCCCAGAGGCTGGAGGCTCAGTCTGGCTGAGTCTGGGGTGTCCTGGTGCCACACGTCCTCGCGTGTCCTGCCAGAGGGAGCTGCTGGTGCCGTTCCTCCCGTGTTCCGACAGCTCCTCTAAATCCTCCTCAAAGGCGCTGCCTTTAATTGGCTTAATACACTCGTTAATAACAATGTCTATTTAAGACACCTGTAAAAAGCCCATAACATCAGCTTAATGAGAGCAATGGCTGGTTCAGGTGCTGCGTCCTGCCTGTGCAATTACTGCCCTGATGGAGAGCATGGGGAGCACGGAGAGTGGCCATGGATGGAGAGCATGGAGAGCATGGAGAGCAGCCACAGCCTCGCTGCTGTGTCCCCCCTCTGCTGCTGGGAGCAGGGGTGATGTGGAGAGTCACAGATTCCAGTGCATCCCTCCTGCTGAATCCTGGTTTTTACCTGGTTCATCTGGGCATGTCACAGCCATGGAAATGTCACTCAGAGTGGGACTGGGACAGGCAATCCCCTCACAGGGAATGTGGAATGTACCCAGAGGTGCAGCTCTTCTGTGGTGGCTTTGCCACCCAGGGTGTGGTGGCATCAGGGGTTGCTGATGCTGGTGGCATCGGGAGCAGAGTGCTCCAGGTACTACTGAGGGGCTGAACTGCCTGGGAAGGCTGGGCTTCCACAAACCCCCCAGTTTTACCATTTCTTCCTTGCAAAACCTTCCTCTGGGCAGGCACCAGGTCTGGTATTACCAGTGTGTCATAGACATCCCTTGGCAGGGCTGGGAATTTTGGGAACCAGCTGGGAACCAACCCTCATTCCCATGTTCCGACGTGTACATGCACGTGCCTGCGTGTGTGTGTGTGTGTGAGTGTGTGGAGATTTTAAACACCTAATTTATTCCATCTATTAGATAGATTTTGTAGATTTAATCATTTTCACAGTTGGTGGCTCATTGGATACTCAAGATAAACTCCAAATGAAAGTATAATGGGAACGACAAATGAGTTTTCACACCAGAATGGCAGAAACTTGCTCAGGAAAGAGTTTGAAAGGAACAAAACTATATACATATATAATTTTTTTTTCTGCAGTGGCTTTTGCTGACTCCAGTAGGTTACCACAGTTAATTTCACCAGTTTTGTTCATCTGTAAAATTGCATAAAAGTGACATTTTTGTGCTCATTATAGGAACTGCTGATTTATGGCTGGTAAATGCAATGCTTTTCCATTTTTGGTGAGGTTCTCGTAGCAGCGCAAAGCACCCATGAAATTGCTTGTATAATGTAGTTTAAATCCAATCTCAGAGAAAGATTCCCCCGTTGGGTAAAGTGACATTTCCATTCTCCACACCGAGTTTATTTTAGGCCACTTACAAGTGACTCCCGTCAGCGGGAGGGGACAGCTCGGTGCCGTGACCTGGTTTCTGCCTGGAGAGGTCTGGGGGAGGATGGTGGGAGGACGGTGCTGGGACGCTGGGTGCCCTCACCCTGCTGGCACTGGATTCACCCCAAGCTTTGCCCCCGCAGGCGAGACGGCCCCCATGCATTCCCCGCGCTACCCCAGCCCCGCCGAGCTGGACGCCTACGCACAGAAGGTGGCCAACAGCCCGCTGACCATCAAGATCTTCCCCACCAACATCAGGGTCCCCCAGCACAAGCACCTTAACCGGACAGTGAACGGCTACGACACCACGGGGCAGAGGTACAGCCCCTACCCCCTGCACGCCGGCGGCTACCAGGGGCTGCTGGCCATCGTCAAAGCCTCCGGCAAAAGCGTGGTGAAGAACTCGGAGGGGAAGCGGACTAAGCTCTCGCCCGCCCAGGTGGGCGTCGCTCCCTACCCCGCCTCAAGCACTTTAGCTCAAGGTCCCTCCTGCGCCGGGCAGCTGAGCTACCACGGCGGCCAGAAGCAGCTGGAGGGTCCCGTGCCCCCCAACGTGACGGTGGCGGCCTCGGTGCTGCCGTTGGCAGGCAGGAGCCTGGCGCTGCCGCCCTCCAACCTGCCCTCCATCCAGAGCATCATCTACCAGATCAATCAGCAGTGCCAGGCGCAGGGTGCCCAGCCCGGCTGCCCGGCTGTCGTGGCCGCCCACCCCAGCCCGGCCAAGCACGGCGCCTTCGGCCCTGGCTACGGCGGCACCGTCCTGCCCGAGTGCCGCAAGGGCGCCGAGCTGGCGCTGGGCTCCAACCCGGCCGCCGCCCTGGGACCCAAGGCGGGCGTTTACCCCGAGGGCATGGACTACCTGGTGTGGCAGCAGAAGCAGCAGCAGCAGCACCTGCGAATGTACAGCGGGGGCAGCGGCGGCGGCGGGGCTCTCAGCAAATCCCCCGAGACGTGCGCGGGCGCCTCGCGGCCCTACGGGCTGGGTGGCGCCGCCGACAAGGTGAGCTCGTCCCCCTTGAACTGCATGCACGGCAACTTCGCGGTGGGGCAGTACTTTGCTCCCCCCTGGAACAGCATCCTGGTGACCCCCAACAGCGACTGTTACAACCCGCCGGAGCTGGGGGCCGGGCCCCGCGAGCTGGGGGTGCCCCCGGCCGAGGGGCTGCCCAGCAAGACCCTCTGCAATACCTCCATCCTCAGCAGCAGCCTCCAGTCCCTGGAGTATCTCATCAACGACATCCACCCGCCCTGCATCAAGGAGCAGATGCTGGGCAAGGGCTACGAGACCGTGTCTGTGCCAAGGCTCTTGGACCACCAGCACGCCCACATCCGCCTGCCCGTCTACAGATAAGGGACAGATGCTGCTCTTCCCAAACCCAGGGCGAGGACTTTGGCGCGAGCTGCGGGTGCCGGGGCAGGGGGACAGGGAGGGGGACGTGGGGTCGGCTGCTGAAAGGGCTCCCGGGACACTGGCATTGCACCGGGGTCCCCAGACTGGACACGCCCACGACCCGCTGGAAGCCGAAGGACCGCTTGTCTATATAGCTCAGAAATCATTTTATCTCCACGAATGTGAACAGGGAATTGCTACGAGTTGCTGCTATCCAGGGAGGGGAGGCTCTGCTGTGCTGGCGGTGCCCAGAGCGGGGCAGAGCCCGGTGTCGTGGCCGGCCGGGAGGCTCCAGGGTGGGTCCCAGCCCAGTGCGCGGCTGGGAGGCTCCGTGGTGGCCAGTGCTGACCTGGCGTCTGTCCTGGAGGCTCCACAGTGGCCTGTCCTGGCACGGCAGGGGCTGGGAGGCTCCGTGGTGGCCAGTGCCAGCCTAGAGGTGGCCGGTCCCAGCCCGGCGTGTGGCCGCAGGGAGCTGGCGCCTGACCTGTAGCTGAAGTCCGTAACTTGCACTGCTTTGATTAAAGCTAATAACTGGGGACAGTCTGGAGGCTATTTAAGAAAAACACTTGAAAACTTGAACAGATTTTTTGGTTTTTTTAATTTTTTTTTTTTTTTTTTTTAGTTGACTAGGCTGTACATCTACGTGTTGGCTGCTACAGAGTCTCCTCCCACCCCTCTTCCTCCTCATCCTCCTCCTCTCACCCAGCCCCACAGTGGCCACGGCTCCTATTCCCACTCAACCAGGAGGTTCGGGACCCCCTCAGCCCTTCTCTCCTGGGAACCCCTGGCTCTCACACTTCCAGGCTGTTTTATTTCCCCTCTTACTGTCAGTTCTACCTTGGTTCTGGGTCGCGGTACTGGGGCGCTCACATACCTCCTTTTTTTTCTCTTTCTTTTTTTTTTTTTTTTAAAAAAAACCCCAAACAATTCCAAAATGATTATGGTCCGTTACTCACTCTGTGTAATTCTGTGTTTAATAGATTTGTTCATTTACAAAAGGCTCCTCACCACGAAATACAAAGTGTTTTGATGTTTAAAGGTAAAAGAAGAATAATATCCCGATGAAACCCAAGGTGATTGTGCTCGGAAAAGAGGTACTGTATCCCTGAAAGCCTGTTCAAGCACTAAGTGCATTTACAAATCTCTGAGAATGTTTTTTTTTTATACTAAAATTGACCATTATATTCTACTGTGAGAAGTGCTGGCTGCACTATATTGTTTTAAAAATGAGAAAACAAAATGAAAAAAAGAAAAAAAAAAAAAAAAGAAAAAAAAAAAACCAACACAAAACCCGCAAGCCGTGTGTCCGGATGGTGTTTTTCCCAAAGTAAAACCAGGATCTCGCTGGATGTGTGCTCTGGAGTCTCTTTGCTTTGCTGTGGCCTCCCCCAGAGCCGGGACACCCCCCTGCTCCCAGAGATTTTTAGGGCACGGAGGAGCACCTATAAATAACCTGTTAACGATGCTGAGCCATTAATCCCGGCGGCACCAGTCTCCGCCTCACACCCAAGGGGTGGCACATGGGACAAATCCCTGGGATTAGGGCTGTGGCCTCACGTGTACCCAGGGGACAGAGTCAGGCACTGCGTCCCCATCCTGTCACCAGCACAGGGGGTGGCATCTCCGCTGCCATCCAGCGCTCCTGTTTCCCACTGGGTTTCCATTGCAGGGCCATTCCTGGTGCCCAGGTGGGGTGGGGGCTCTCTGACAGCCCTAAATCCAACCCTGCTGCTTTGCCAAGCAGCAGCAAGCACAGCAGGATAATGGGACTGAATCCCAAATTGCTCCTGGATGTGGATGCATCTCCCCGGCCTCCGTATCCCGTGGTGGGACACACAGCATGGCCTCATCCCAGCCAGGGAGGGGACTGAGGGTGACAGAGGCTCAGCTGCCTTCTGTGCGTGACCAGGAGGGTACAGGGATGGGATGGGGTGGGATGGGATGGGAATGGGGATAGAATGAGGATGGGGATGGGATAAGGGTGGGGATGGGATGGGATGAGGTGGGGAAGGGGATGGGAACCAATGGGGACGGGAATGGGGAAAGGATGAGGATGGGAATGATGGGGATGGGATGTGGGCAGGACAAGGGCGCGCGTGGCTCCTCCAGTATTTGTGGCACCGGGAGGGGACCTCTCTGTCACCAGCAGCAGCAGTGAGCAGCATGACAGCCGATCCGGGGAACAAAGAGAAATTGGGACAAAAGGAAATTTTCACAGAGGTTAACATTGCTGATGGGGGGGTGCCCCTGCCTGCCTGCGTGTTAAAATTATTCTGTCTGGAGGAAGATCTCTGCTCAGATCTTTGTCATTAAAAAGATGCCACATCAAAGGAATGTGAGGCTGGAGCACGGCGGGGCCTCTGTGCAGGGCAGCCCCTCCTTGGGGACCCCCTGCACCAAAGGGGGACTCTACAAAGGCTGGGGTGCGCTGAGCCGTGCTGGGGGCTCCAGGAGAAACTTTGCTCCCTCAGTGGTGCCCGTGGGAGGAGGATTCATTAGCGCTGCCTCCATCAGATTTCCCAGCTCGCCATAAATCAGGGCGAGTGGCTGGGAGCGACGGCGCGATCCATCTTGCAGGTCTCCAAGTCATTACATTTCATTAGGAGGTGTGCGGGGGTTTTTATTATTTAGCAGGTTAATTCTCCCCTCAGATCGCTGCTTGGGAGGAGGATTTCGCTGGGGAGGCTTCAAGTGTGGAATGCAAAATGAATGGGTTCCTCTTTGGTGGGCACCTGCTGCAGTGCCAGCCCTGCCAGGTGCAGGTGAGCACGTGAGGACAAAAAATGTGCACAGACACTGGTGGGAGATGGGGCAGGGACACCTGAGGTACATCCCATCACAGCCCATTGCCCTTCTGTTCCATGGGGCACAGCATCCACGGGTGCTGTGGGAACACACTAAAGGAAACTATGCTGCTTCTGGCCTACAAACACCTTCCTATTCCAAGTATACCAATAATAATACCAATAATCACACAAATTTCTAAGGCAGGTGTGCATGAGGCTGATATTAAACTTAGCGGCTGCCTTTGCTGTTTGGGAGCGAGGAGGAGAGACAGGCAGTATAAATTGCACGGCTGCAAAAGGACTTAAAAAAACCCATCTCTCATTTTGATTGATATTAGCTTCACAAATTAAGCTTTAGATTTATCTAAAAATAAATTTGCTTCCACGCTCCGCATTCTGGATGACAAGTGCTCTTCTCTTCCCTTTGTTGGGTTTGTCATCTCTGGCAGGGCGGCGCGGGGAGGGGCGGGAGGGGGCCGGGGCCAAGCACCCCCCGTTCACCAGCTGAGGCTGAAACAGCTCCAGGCGTGGTGGGGCAGGGGGTAAAAGGGCCAAAACCAGTCCCTGAAGGCGGCAGAGGACTCCAGTGCTGGGATGTCACCATGGTGGCTGTGGTGGCCCCGTCCTCACAGAGCCACTGCAGGGTGTAAAGTGATGGTGATGCAGGGGCTTGGTGACAGCTGTCCTTCCCACAGCCCAAATCTCTTTAAAGCTCACTGATATGTGGCCTCTTGGCTTTGGGGCATTAAGATCTGCAAGGGAGGGTAGGAAATTGGTTTATGTCTCATTTTACTGGAAAATCCCATCTCTAGTGCTGCAGCCGGGGGCAGCCACGGTGCTGAGCCCATCTCTGGCTGAGTCCTGCTCCAGGGCTCCCCAGCCACCACACATGACCCAGCCAGGACTGCCCACTGCGGACCCAGTCGAGTGAAAGCCACGTTCATTGTTTTCACCCAAGATCCAGCCTAGAAGCAGAGCAGCTCAGCTCCTCATTCGATTATGAAGCAGGAGCCGCCACCTCCGCCTCTCCCAAGGAGCGATAATGAAACATATTCATCCCTCACCCTGGGGAAATACTTAAACCACAATATGAGAGATGTATGTAAATCACATTTAAACGGAGACGGTGCCGTTAACGCTGACGGCGACTCATCAAGTTGGAAGATGAAGTGTCCCCTCTGCTGCTAAAGCGTTTGCTGAGAGAGCAGGGCTGTCCCCAGGCCCTGGCCAGGGTCTCTGTCAGTGCCACCGTGTCACCATGCCACTGGTGCCCACCCAAAGCGCCCCTTCACACCCCCACAACGTCCAGCTGCTGAAGGAACGCTCACCAGGTGGCTGGGAGGATGAGGAGGAAAGGAGCTACAGAGGGGTGATGCATGGGATGGGCTGAGGATGGGGATGGGATGGAGATCCATAGGGATGGGCTCAGGACGGGAGGGGATGGGGCACGGATGTTATGGGGATGCGGAGAGCTGGTTTGCCGCGGCCCGGTAGCGGCCCCGGCCCTGCGCTCGGGGTGCGAGGCCAGCCCGGCGAGACCGGGGCCGGGCCCGCATCGCGCGGTGTGTGCCGCCCTCCAGTGGAGCGAGCGCGCACGGCATCCGGCACCGCACCTGTGCATCATCACACCCCTGCACCTGTGCATCATCACACCCCTGCACCTGTGCATCATCACACCCCTGCACCGCACCTGTGCATCATCACACCCCTGCACCTGTGCATCATCACACCCCTGCACCTGTGCATCATCACACCCCTGCACCTGTGCATCATCACACCCCTGCACCGCACCTGTGCATCATCACACCCCTGCACCGCACCTGTGCATCATCACATCCCTGCACCTGTACATCATCACACCCCTGCACCTGTGCATCATCACACCCCTGCACCGCACCTGTGCATCATCACATCCCTGCACCGCACCTGAGCATCATCACACCCCTGCACCTGTGCATCATCACATCCCTGCACCGCACCTGTGCATCATCACACCCCCGCACCTGTGCAGCATCACACCCCTGCACCTGTGCATCATCACACCCCTGCACCTGTGCATCTTCACACCCCTGCACCTGTGCATCATCACATCCCTGCACCTGGGCATCATCACACCCCTGCACCTGTGCATCATCACACCCCTGCACCTGTGCATCATCGCACCCCTGCACCTGTGCATCATCACACCCCTGCACCTGTGCATCATCGCACCCCTGCACCTGTGCATCATCACACCCCTGCACCTGTGCATCATCACATCCCTGCACCGCACCTGTACATCATATCCATGTGTCACACCTGTACATCGTATCTCTGGACCACACCTGTGCATTGTAGCCCTGTGTCACACCTGGACATCATCATATCCCTGCACCACACCTATCACCATCATCACATCCCTGCACTGCACCTATGCATCGTATCCATCCATGTCTCACACCTGTGCATCGTATCCCTGCACCACACCTGGACATCATCACATCCCTGTACACCACATCCGTGCACCAAACCTGAGCTCAGCCCGCTGGGTGACCACGCCCAAAGGCACAGCACAGTTTGGCACGGTTTGGCTTGGTTAGCACTGGGGAGCAGGCAGCTCCTCCATCCTATCCTTCCCCAAACCCTGCTGGCATCCTGGCTGTGCCACGCCGAATCGCTCAGCGCTGGGAGGAGACGGCGGTGGCGCGTCAGTCTTTATTACTGAATAAATAACCGTATAAACCTTGTGCAAAACTCTGTGGCAAAACCATCGGCGCCGGCGGGGGCCGTGCTCCCCACCCCGGGCTGAGGCTCCCGGCACGGCACAGCCCCGGCACAGGGAAGTGAAGCGGTGGCACTCGGTGAGAGCCGAGACACGGCCGGGGACAGCGGCTGCCGGAGGGGACAGAGGCTGCGCGATTCCCTGAGGAGCAGACGAGTACCATCCATCCAGCCCAGCGGCGATTCCCGAGCCGCTCCGGGGGCCCGGGCAGAGTCCATCAGCTGCCGGTGCTGCCGTGCTAGAGCGGGGAGCTCGGGGCTGGGCCGTGCCGCCGCTCCCGCGGCTCCGCCGTGCCCATGTTCCCCAGGGGCACCACCACCTCCTCCGGAGGGCAGCTCTTGTTCAGCTCCACCACGCGTGGCACCACTGTCGACCACCGATCTGTGGAGAGGGTGGGAGATGCGCAAAGCCCATCTGTGGCTGCTTGCCAGGCCCCCAGATCTGCTCCTGGGGCTCATCAGAGGCCGCCAGCAGCATCCTGAGGGATGTCCCAGCCCCCAGATCTGCTCCTGGGGCTCGTCAGAGGCCACCAGCAGCATCCTGAGGGATGTCCCAGCCCCCAGATCTGCTCCTGGGGCTCGTCAGAGGCCACCAGCAGCATCCTGAGGGATGTCCCAGCCCCAGATCTGCTCCTGGGGCTCATCAGAGGCTGCCAGCAGCATCCTGAGGGATGTCCCAGCCCCAGATCTGCTCCTGGGGCTCATCAGAGGCTGCCAGCAGCATCCTGAGGGATGTCCCAGCCCACAGCAGGGCGCTCACCTCTTCGCAGCCGGCCCATGGTGTGGGAGAAGCCGTAGTACTGGTATGTGTCGCTCTTGCCCGGATCCTCACTGATGATGCCCAGGTTCTGGTTCCAGTGGGACCAGTTCACCTCGTCCACCCTATGGGGAAGGTCAGACCCTGGAGGAGTGCCCTGGAGCCAGGGCGGGACCTCCAGCACCCATCAGCAATGCCAGCTGCCTCCAGACCACTACAAAGCACCCAGCAAATGAGTGCTGCACGGTGCCAGGCCCCCAAAAATGCTGCTGGGAGAGGCTCAGCTGCTCCCCAGCCTCCGAGGGCGCCCACCTTTACCTGAAGCACCAGCGGCGGTCGGGGGTCCCGTCCGTGCCCTTCCCCACAGTGACCATCTCCCCCGAGCGGAAAGCTTTCCTCAGGAACACCGGGAAGGAGCGCTCGATGTCCAGGATGGTGGTGGCCCACTGCCAGGGACACCAGGGAATGCCTGAGCATGGAGGTGCCTTGCCCATGGAGCTCGGGATGCCTCGATTCTGCAGCCCCCCAGGCACAGGCAGCTCCTGGAGATCCCATCCCACCACGCCCAGGGTGGTACCTGCAGCTTCCAGATGTGCTTGCTCTCCTTGGAGACTTGGCCCACGGTCTCGCCCATGAGGGCGATGAGCATGTTGAGGAGGAGCACGAAGGTGAGGATGATGTAGGTGACGAGGAGGATGATGAAGACGCCGGGGTATTTGGCGCTCTCGAGCATCTCCAGGTCGCCCATGCCGATGGTGAGCTTGAAGAGGTCGAGCAGGAAGGTGCTGAAGGTCTGGCTGTCCCGGCAGGACGGGTAGGTGGGCACTGTGCAGTTGGACTTCTCGCTGCAGGACTCACTGCTGGGACACGGGTTGAGGAGGGACACCAGGGCTGGGGGAGAAGGGACAGGGACAGCGAGTCCATAGGGGCAGTGGCAAGGACAGGATCCACAATGGGCCCCAGTGTGGCTCCGTGCTGGCTGAGACCTTCTCCACCGTGGGAGGAGGCAAAGGCTGAGGCTGTGGGCAGGTGGGATGGAGCTGGGGGTCTGCAGCCCCCTGCCCAGCCAGGAGCTGTCCCTGCCCCAGCCAGGGGAGCTGGCTGGTTACCTGATGCATAGCCAATCATGAAGAGCAGGTAGACCAGGAGGAAGCGGAACAAGTCTTTGAAGAGGATCTGAAAGTGGTGGAGAGCAGGGTGAGGTGTGCTGGACCACAGCATCATCATCAAGCTGTGCCGCTGGCACATCTGGGCTGGGAGCAGGGCAGTGGAGAGCCACAGGAACCCTTCACAAAGCCTGGAGGGACCTTTTTAGGCTGTAATTCCACAGGAGCATCACCCCTGGAGAAGGACAAGACCCACAACCCCACCAGACCTTCTGGATCATGATGCTGTAGGTCCCTGTCAGCTTGAGCCCACGGGTGAAGTACAGGGCGTTCATCCAGCCCAGGACCAGGGCAAAGACCATGACAGCCAGGTAGGCCTCGATGCCACCCAGGTACAGCCCCGCCGTGACAATCACCAGCACCGAGTAGATGAAGCTGCAGGAGAGTTGGGGTCAGAGCCTGCAGCCACGAGCCTGGGGGGTGCAGTGGCTGGTGGTGGCCCTGGGGGTTCCCCACATACTAGAGCAGCTGGAAGGAGCCATCTATGAAGAAGGAGTTCACACCTGGGCACTTCTTCATGAACAGGTCTTTAATCTGTGGGAGAGAGGCAGAGGTTGGAGGGTCTCGAGTGGCAGGGTCCCCACGTCTGAGGCCACTTTGGCAGGGGTGGATGCCTCAGGGGACAGGGCTGTCACCCCTGGAGACCCCAAAGAGCTCAGTGTCCCCATGGGAGGACCCCCTGCCTTGCCACACTGACATTTGTGCAGAAGAAGAGGATTCCAGTGAGGAGGGTGATGATCTCCCCGGCCAGGCGCAGGTAGTCGGCGGTGCTGGTGTAGGGGTAGGGCGGCTGTGGGGAGAGGACAGAGCTGAGCTGCTCCCCCATCCCCTGGGACAGAGCCCTGCCAGACCCCCCTGCAAGGCAGGGCTGGCCCGTGGGGCTGTGCCAGCCTGGGGACTCACAGGGCCTTCCATGGGGCGGTAGTAGGCGACGAGGGTGAAGATGATCATGGCGCTGAGGTAGGAGACCACGCTGATGTAGAAGGAGACAGCCCCAAACTTGCGCCACTTGTCCCTCAGCAGCTCGTTGATGGGCTCCACAGCCAGCATCTCGTGGCGGTTCTGGTGGGACATGGGTGATGGCAGAGGGGACAGGGCCACCCAGTCCCCTCCAGACCCCTCCCAGGCCCCCCAGCCCTGCACACCTCGATCTTGCTGTTGTAGACGAGGATCTCCAGCACGGACACCTCCTCCCCACAGGTGTCCAGAGAGGAGAGGTCGTACAGGGAGGAGTAGACGGGGCCATAGGCCCAGTCCTTGAACTTCCTGGAGAGGTGCCGGGCGTCCTCATCCGTGATCTCCCTCCGGATGATGTGCTGGAAGATCTGCCAGAGGGAGGGATGGAGGGAGGACTGCTACCCACAGACCTGCCTCCACCCTGCCCTCCTCCCACCCCATCCTGGGTGCATCCCCCAACCCCCTCCCTGCACCCCAATGGGCTCTGGGTGCTCCCAGGCGCTCCTGGGGTGATGCAGGCACTGTGGCAGCCCTGCAGGATGCTGCAGCTTCTGCATTTTTGTGACTCCCCTGCCTGCCCCACCAGAGGCCAAGGGCAGGTCAGGGGAGAAGACGGGCTGTGTGAGGGTCTGGAGTTAATTGGGAAAAGGCCAGAACGCAAAGGGGTGTTAACTAGCCAGGTTAATAGGGCTGCACCTCCAGGTTTCCACCAGCATCTGCAGAGAGAAGCCGTGCATGCACTGAGTGTGACAGGGCTCAGCAGGGACGGCAGGGACACGTCCCCGAGACGGGGGGGACACCGTACCCCGATCTTGCCGGTCTTGGCCGCCATCATGAGCGGGGAGAGGCCGTCGTTGTTGAGCAGAGCCTCCAGGTTGGTGTCGGGGAAGAGCTTGGCGCACTTGACGAGGAGCAGGTCGTACATCTTGGTGACAAACTTGGTGTTCTCGCGGGTGTTGTCGGCGATGGCCACCAGGGCGTGCAGCACGGTGTTGCCGCGGGAGTCCTGGCGCCGCAGGTCCGCCTGCTTGTGCCCGTTCTCCGTCAGGTAGTGCACGATGTGCGGCTGGTTGGTGCAGGCAGCCAGCGACAGGGGCAGCTCACCTGCGGGGGGACAAGAGCGCGGCTCGGGTCACCCCTTCCCCGCTGCGGGGACACCTCGGGGTGCAGCCCCCCGGCTCCCTCCCTGCTCACCGAAGTAGAAGTAGCCGCCCTCGCCCTTGGGCTGGAAGAAGCGACCGCGGGCCTGGGCATGGACGTCTGCTCCCTTCTCCACCAGCAGCTCCACGTAGTGCTTGCAGCGGCGCTCGATGGCGATGTGCAGGGCTGTCTGACCTGTGCCACCACCGCCTGTCAGCCACCGCCTTGTCCCGGCACTTCCCCCGCGTCCCAGCCTCCCCAGGTCCCTTCTCCGGTCCCCGAACCAGCCCAGTGTCCCCCCCCAGCAGTGGCCCCACGCCCCCCACCTCGGTAGTAGACGTCCCTGAAGGGTGAGTTGATGAACTCCCGCATGTTTCCCGTCTTCTCGGCGATGTCCAGCAGCACCGGGATGGTGTCGTTCTTGCCCCCGCTCAGGTTGAGCAGGGCTTTGGGCAGGCAGGTCTTTCCCGTGGAGGGCTCTGCGAGTGGAGGGTGCTGAGGGGGGGGCCAGGGCAAACCCCTCAGGCCCCCGGCTCCCCATGCCAGAGCTGTGCATCCCCATCCCTCAGGAATACAGGGATCGCCAGGGGTCACAGCCCAGCCCTGGCACCAGGGCAAGGAACTGCCAGGTCCTCACCTCGGAACTCCTCGTCTGTCAGGCGCTTCTTGTGGGTGAGCAGGAAGGAGAGGAGCCCGTCCAGGCCGGCCGGGGACCCCCGGGACACGATGTCGAAGAGGATGGGTCTGTTGAAGACCTTGAGGACGGGGGGCGGCTCGGGAGCCGGCCCCTTTGCGGCGGGCGGCTGCTTCCTGCGGGGGAAACGCCAGCGCTGGGAACGGGAGCCGCTGCCTCTGCTTCCCCCACCTGTGCGACGAGCTTGAGGGTGCTCAGCCACCGGGGACAGGCACGTGGGGACATCTCCCGGCCGGGGGTCACCGGTGAGGTCAGGGCAGCATCCCCGTCCACAGCAGCCCGGTGCTCCCAGTGCCTTCTTGCCAGCTCTTGCCAGCTCCCACCCAGGTGCTGCAGCGCTTGGGGCCCCCAGCTGTGCCCCCCAGGAGGGACGGGCCGCGGGTTTGGTCACGCTCCGGCACCACGGATGAAGCCAGACCGGTCGGAGCAGTCGGCAGCGGAGCGGGGGGTACGGACCGGCGGCAGTTCCGCGCACCGGGAATGGGGGCAGGACGTTTGGCGGCTGCTCCAGCCGGTGACTTCCAGTCTGAGGGCTCATGGGGCATCCTGCCCCCCTCCACCCACCTCCATGGGGAACATCCCGCTCTCCTAAGCCGGCTGCACCCCTGGGTGGGGACACTGGCGAGCCGCCCCAGGTGCCCGGCACAGAGGGGCATTGTGCGTCCGGCCGCGGGCTGCCCCCCCCGGCTCCGGTTTCCTGGCGCGGGCAGGGTGGAGGCCCTCCTGAAAAGCCTTTTCATGCCGCAGCCAGACGGCCGCACCGGCCAGGGGAGCGGCCGGGCGCACAGAGCCTCTTTCATGGCGCCCGTCAGGGGGAAGGGGAGCGCTCTCCCGGCCCCGCGGTACCGGGGGCTGCGGAGCCCCTCCACGGCACGGCACAGCCACTGGGACTCACTGGGAGCTGCTCCCTGTGCGCGGCATCTCTGCCCAAAGCACCCCAAAGTGCCGCTCGGAGGTCCCCCCACGTCCCCAGTCACTGAACATCCCCGTCCCCACCGGGGTGTCCCCAACAGAACATCCTCATCCCCACCGGGGTGTCCCCGACAAAACATCCTCATCCCCACCGGGGTGTCCCCGACAGAACATCCCCGTCCCCACCGGGGTGTCCCGTACTCACTCCGCGACCCTCCTGCGCCAGCGCTTGTTCTCGCTGGGGTGGTGGCGGTAGGTGCCGTAGTCGAACAGGGAGTCCATGGGGGCTTTCTTGGGCGCGGGGACCACGGGGGACTCGTAGATGGTGGCCTCCAGCAGCTCCATGGGCTTCGGGGCGCCTTTCCGAAAGGCCCCGTGGAATTTCATGCGGAGGTTTTGCTTTCCATCGCCGGCGCCGGGGGGACCCCGGGCTGCCTCGGCGGGGCTCGGGGTGTCCTCGCTCTCGAACAGGTTGGCCAGAGAGGAGAGCGGGAAGGATTCGTTCTGGAGGGAGCCGTCCTCCCCCGCGCCCTCCCCGGCATCGCGCGGGGCGTCCTCGCTGTCTGCCATGGTCCCTGCCCGGAGGGACGGGCACGACTGACCTGCCTGGCTGGCTGTGACCCCCGGCTCCTTCCACGAGAGCAGGAGACCTGGCGGAGGAAAACCCCGTGTCACCCCCAAAATACTCTCCCCATCCTCTCTCCCCGAGCCCCGCGGCGGGACAGGTTCCACACCCACCCTGGCGGAGGTTGGAACCCGCTGTAGCTCAGTCACCCGGATGGTCCTGCCTTGTCCCGGCTCTCCTCGGCACCCACCCACCCTCTGCGGGGACCCCTCACGTCTGCGGGGGCCCCTCCGGCTGCGGCGCTGCCGTGCTGGGCGAGGGCGAGCCCGGCCCCGCTGCGGTCAGCCGGGGTGCAGCCCAGGACAGGGCACAGAGCAGACCCTGTGCGCTGCGATCTGCCGCCCAAGGAAAGAAAACATTCCTTGGGATACTCCCCACATCCAAGGAAGCGGCCAGGGAAGCGCCCAGAGGCAGCAGGAGCTGCCACCGCAGCAGGGCTGGGAGCGGGGCCAGGGCTGCTCCTGATGCTCCACAAGCCAGGGGGGCTCGGTGGGACGCGGGTCTGGGCACCGGGAGGGGACGGGCGCGGCACGGGGCGGGGGGCAGGAACAGCGGCTGGGACAAGAAATTACGGGTTTAGGTTACCCAGAGGGACGTGGAGATGAAGGAGAGACGTGCCATCAGCGCGGCCAGCAGAGCGCTGTACCGTGTCACCGCGTCCTGCCCGCCACGCCCGGGACACCAAGTGACTGAGCCCAGGCACTCCCCCAGCCCCAATTTCCACCAAAACCCCCCGGTGAAACCCAGCAGCGTTAGGGCTCAGCACGGCTCCCGCCCGCGGGGAGCTCAGCCTTCCCGGGACGGAAAAGGCAGCGGGAAACGTGTCATTTTGTGCTGGGCTGAAACTCTGTGCGACAAGCCACAGCGGCAGGCTCGGCCCTGTCGGGAGCGCAGCCCGGCCGGGGAAAGGGCTCGAATGAGGCAGAGGGTGCTGGCAGCCACACGGTGCTCCCGTGGGCACGGGGGATGAGGGTGGCAAATGGCCCCAAACCCTGCAGCAATAGAGAGGGGGCTCAGGCAGTGGTTCCCCTCCCTGCCACACTTAGGGACACCCAGCGGGGCTGGTGCAGCCCTGGGGGACACCCAGAAAGGACAGTGGAGTCCTGGGGGACACAGAGCTGGCAGTTTCTCCTCTTTGCTGACTTTCCTGCCATCCCCACCTCTGCAAGAAATTCCACAAGCACCTGCCAAAGCCCGCAGGTCCCACATCCTGACCCCATGCAAACAGGGGCCCTCGCATGGCCGGTTTGACCTTGGACAAGGGAATTGCCGAGCACACGGACCCTGCGGGCTGGGAATGGGGATGGAGCACCTGACCTGCCCAAACTGCTGGAACCCGAAAAAATGCAGTTTTAGGGAAAACCCGGACACAGTACTGGCTGTCCCACACCTGCTGTCACCGGCCTTGAAGCCTGAAGTTTGTGTGGGGAATGAGGGACTCAGGGCTGGTGCCGTCAGCCCGGATGCTGCCAGGAAAGGTGCTGTCACAGGGGTTTGATTTGGCCCCTCGGTTATTTGGGTTTGGATTTTTCAAACTTCCTCACCTCATGGAGTAACTGAGTCAAGGCACAGCTCTTGCATCCAACACAAACCCCACGTGTGCTCCCACCTCTTCCCAGCATCCCAACCTCCCAGCTGGACCAGTGTCCCCAGTCAGTGCCCACTCCTGCCCACCACGGGGGCACGGACGCTGTCACCAACACCGGGATGTGCAGGGACATCCATGGGTGGGCGGCAGGGAGGGTGTCCCATGACATTAAAGGGTGATTAAGGGTGGGAGTGAATCACTGAAACCACAGCGAGTTCTTGTCGGAAATCCTCATCCCGAGTGATGCAGCTGCTTCCCAAAATCATCCTCACTGCCGGGCCCGTGCTCACCTCGGCAACAGCCAGGAGCTGGGTGTGGGCAGCACGGGGGGTTCGGAGCCCCCTCCTCAAAGCTCGCCTGGGAACCCACCCGGCACCTCAATCTCGGATCACGATCCCCAAGCTGCCCAGACAGTGCCGGGGCATCCATGAGGGTCCACCTGGCCCTGCCCAGCTCAGCCCTCGACCCCGGCCTCACCTGGGGTCTCCATCCTGCCCCGCTCGCCGTGTGCTGCCCGGAGAGCCCCATCCTGCCCCAGTTTCCGTGTCCCTGCACCGGAGGCTCCATCCAGCCCCGGTGCTCGTGTCCCGGCCCGTCCCACTCCCGGTGGTGCCCCCCGCTCCCCCGGTTCCGTACCGCTAAAGGTCCCGTGGAAAGTCCCGTAGGCTCCGGCGCCGCCGAGTCGCCCGGGGCCGGTCCCCAGAGCGGCCCCTCCCCGGCTCCAGCGGCGGAGGCGCCACCGGGACCCGCCCTCGGGATCGGCCCCCGCCCGCCCCCGGGCAGTCTCCCGGGAACACCGGCCACAAAACAGCCCAGAAGGAACAACCCCAAAATACCCTGCAAGAAATAAGCCCCCCAGGAAAAACGTCTCTGGCACAGGCCTCCCAAAGAACAGCTCCAAAAACCCTCCCATAAACAGCTCTCCTAGGACACAGCTTCAAAACAGCCTCCCAGGAACAGCTCCAAAACATCCTCCTGAAAACAGCTCCCCTAGGAAAAAAAAACCCGAATTTCCCTACCCAAAACAGTCCTGCCCCAAAACACCTTGCCCAAAAGAGTCTCCCCAAACACCCTTTGGGGCTGACCCAGCCCCAAATGAGGCTCCCAGGCCATGGGTACTGTCAGTTTTTATTAATTGCTGCTCCTGGGGCTCAGGAGGCGAGGGGGGCTCATAAGGCACCGCAAACACCACGGGGACAGTCCCTGGTTTCTGAATCCCAGCACAGGGGCTTGATCCCAGGCCAGCACTGGAAGAATTGGGATCACCCAGGAAAGTCATCAGCTCCTCCTCCATGGGCATCATTCCGGACAATCCAGTGCCAATCAACACGAGGTGCCCGTCGGTGGGTTCCAGGCACAGCCCGAGTGCCACTTCATTCATCAGCAGGACACTTCATTCCCTGCCCCACTGGAGACAGGAATCCAGGGGTTGGGACTAGAAACACTTGTTCTTCCTCTTGGGAAATCCAAGGGTGACACCCACAATTGTTTTATTGCCGTATTCTTAATAGGAAGTTAATTACTGTTATTTTTTTGGTTAGAAAAGACATTATCCACTGCAGATCCAGAGAGGAATCGAAGTCACCAGAGAGCAGGGAGCCGCCCCAGCTGCCTCAGCGATGAAGACATAGGTAACACCCAGCACACGTTATTTAATCTGTGCCAATCCTGTGCCAGCTTTAGGCTTTGTAGCTCAGCTCAGCGTTCATCTTCGTGTACATCTCATAAATTGCATCCAGGATTGGAGTGACCCTGGTGAGAAACTGGTGGATTTTTTCTATGCTTTCCTCTTCCTTGACTTCTTTACCCTTCTCCAAGGCCTTCAGCAAATCGGATTTGTAGGGAAGAGCATAGACTGAGCCCTGTAAAACAGGGAGAGGGTGTTTGACTCCCACAAACCCAACAGAGACCATGGGTTGGGTTGTTCCTATGAGCCAGTGCTGTGGGCTCTCTGGACACTTGTCAGTGCATGGGAACAGCTTTAGGGATGGTGGTTGGGTGCTTGGAGAGGGAGGGGATGCTCACCGTGAAGAGCTTCTGCAGCATCCAGCCGTGGTATTTCTTCAGTGCAATCTCGTAAGCCTTCAAGGCGTTCACTCGGATGAGGTTGGGATGCTCCTCATCCCTCTCACCGTCAGAGATGCTCTGCAGCAACACCAGAATGAATTTCAGACCCCTGGGAGAAGAGCAGAGATGTTGGGCTCAGGGAAGTGGGTGCTGCTTCCCAGCTTCCAGCCTGGTGTTTCCAAGGGCCTGTCCCTGTCCCTGTGTGTCCATCCAGGGAAGAGAGAGAGAGAGAAGGGCTGGATGGAGCCCCCAGGGCAGGATGGAACCCCCAGGTGAGGCCAGAGCTGATGGCTGAGCTGGGCAGGGTCAGGTGCAGCCCCATGGATCCTCCAGGCACTGCCCTGTCCAATTTGTGGGCTCATGCTCTGAGGTTGAATTCCCCTGTGCATTCCCAGAGGGGAGATTTGAGGAGGGGGTTTCCAACAGCTGTGCTCCCCAAACACAGCACCCCACTTCCAGCTGCCAAGCCCACAGGGCCCAGCCCAGCACAGGCAGCCTCCATTTGGAGCTCTCCAGCTCCCCACATGCCGGGACAGAGCCACAGCAGCTCCCGACGCCGTGAGTCACCTTTTCAACCACATCAGCGCCAGCGTCGCGCCTATCTTGGGCCAGGCTGAGCCGTGCAGCTCCTTCTCCACCTCCAGGATGTTCTGCAGCGTTTTGAACTTGGCAGGGTTGGAGTCATAAACCGCCCGGATTTTCTGAGGGCAGAAAAGGGGATTGGCACACAGGAGCAGGGACTTTGAGCAGGAGCTCTGGGAATAAACTGTGACTGGGTGAGCCACTGCTAAGCCAAGTCCCCGTGGGAAGAAAAGCCTTTTGAAACACCTCCAATCCCACAGCATCTCTCCCCAGGGATTCTCCTCTCTCAGCCCTCCTGAGTCCCTTCCTACCTTGATATTTCCAGTCAGGTCTGCTTTGACCGGCGAGTAGACGATGGGAGTCCCCAAGCAATCTGTGGAGACAGGGAGGGAGGACAATTAGACATTGGTGACACAGGGGACACCATACACTTCCCAAAACCAACAGGTTTCACTTTAAGCACAGCCCAGGCACTGAACCCAAAAAGGGATCTCTGAGCTTCATACACGGCTGTTGGCCCTTGGGACAGCCCTGCCATCTACTGCGGCCCCACGAGTGACCTCCAATCCCCGTGGCTCCGGGACACAGCCCTGGCAGAACATCCTGGAACAGCCTGACCGGCACCGGACACTGCCCGTCCGCAGGCAGGCAGGCAGCCCCACGTCCTGCCCTTCCGCGGCTGCCACCGAGCCGCCACACAATAGCTGACATTGTGGAGGGCAGCGGGCACACTGTGCCACGAGGGCGGCCACGCCGACACCCACCCGCGTCCCGACACGGGGTGGGATCCACGGCTGGGATGGCAGCGCCCGCCCCGGGCGATGCCTCTGCATGGGGTGCTCCAGGGGATGGCAGGACGCTTCCCAACGGGGCTGCTCGGCGGGTTTGACAGGATCGTGATGCAACCCCAGTCCTGGCAGAGCAGCCAAGCCCGGCGTGAGCCCTGGATCAGGTCGGGGGGTCATCACCCAGAACCGGGGAGGGGGCACCCGGAGCGGCTGAGCCCGCAGCAGGCCTGGTCCCAGCCCGCATCTCCCAGCCCCGGCTACCCCGGTCTCACCGAAGAACGGCGGCAGGTGCGCCACGGCCTCCAGGAAGGGCAAAGTCTCGATCTGCTTATCAGCCGGCAGCGGCTTGAACTCGTGTTCCAGCAGCAGCGCCATGACCGGCACAGCGCTCCCGCTTTCCCCCTCACCGCTCCCCGGCTGAGGGGGCTCTGAGGCAGCGGGGGCCGACCCGGCAGCGCGCCCACGCCACGCTCCGCCCCCCACCGTTCCGACCAATGGCTGCGCACCTCCCGTACGGCCGATGCGCAGCCATTGGTCAGAGCGGCGGGGGACGGGACTTTCATTGCAAAGAGGAAACCACGCCCCCATCGCCCCCTCAGATCGGGGCCTGGCCGTGCCCGGGGCCGTGCGCTGCCCCGGCCGCGTTCCGAGCGCCAGGCGGGCCGGCGTTAATTATTCACGGGTGATAAATATTTTATAGGGAACAGATGGAAAACAAACCTCAACGCGCGGCAGTGATGACACACCTCAGTGAGGGGTTGGGTGGGAAAATGACACCAAGCGGGGACACGGAGAGGTGAAGAAGAGGTGGGAGCGGAGGGAGGCTCAGCCCGCCCGCTGCGTGGGGAGCGGACCTGCCGGTGGCAGGGCCCCACATATGGTGTTTTTACTGGTTATTCTGGAAAAACAGGTCGTGGGGCGATAGCGATCGGTGCCTGGCAGGGCGGGTGCGGATACAAGGCGGGTGCGGGGAGCTGCGGGTCACCGGCGGGGGCTGCCGGCTGGTGCCGCCTCCCTCCCCGCTGCCAGACTCCCGTGCTGCCCGGAGCCCCTCCCGGGACGCTTGAAGCCCTTTCTGGGGTGCCAGGAGCCAATTCCGCGGTGCCTGCGATACCCTGAGGCCACCCCAGGGTGCTCGGAGCTTGTCCTGGGATATCCAGCGCTCACTTCGGGATGCCCGGAGTCCCTCTCGGGATGCCCGCAGCCCCTCCGGCGCTGCCCGGGCTGTCCTGGCTCACTCAGCGGCCGGTCCGTTTGGGTTCGCTGCGGGCGCCGCCGCGCTGGTGCCCTGCCAAGGCGGGCAGAAACAGAAACCTTTAACCCCTGAGATATTCACAGCGCCACAAACCCCGCGGTGCTGCGCGCTCCGAGCCGGCACAGCGGCACCGCGCCCGGCCCGGGCTGTACCCGCACATCTGCGAGCGCTCGGGACGCGGCAGCACCGCCGGGCCGGGTCGGAGCGAACCGATCCCCCGCTGCCGCTCCATCTCCCGTCCGTCCCTCTCTCCCCGCCTCCCTCCGTCGGTCCCCGCCTCCCTCCGTGCTCGCGGAGCCCGTCTCGCCGTGTCCCTCGGCGGGAGCCGTCGCGGGCGGGCGCGTTGCGATGTCGCTGTGGCTGCGGCGGGGCCGCGGCCCGGAGCGCTGGGCGGCCGAGCGGCGGGAGCTGCAGGAGCGCAGCCGGCAGCAGTGGGAGAGCACCAGCCGCGCCTTCGCCCGCGCTGCCGCCGCCTGCTCCCTGCAGGCGCGATGGAGCGAGCCCCGCGTCCCCCCGCCCAGGTACGGCCGCGGTCGGTGCGGCGGGTCCCGGGGCGGTGCGGGGATCCAGCTCACCGCCGGTGTGTGCGGCAGCGCGGCGGCGGCGCGGCGGGACGCGGAGGAGGCGGCGGCGCGGCTGGAGCGGCGGCGGGAGCGGCTACGGCGGCTGCTGGGCGAGGAGCGGGAGGCGCTGGCGGCGGAGCTGCGGGAGCGGCGGCGGGGCGGGATGCGGAGCCAGGAGCTGCGGGACGGCCCCGGAGAGTGCGGGAGGAAGGTGAGGGAGCGGCCCGGCCCTGCTCGTCCCGTGCTTCAGCTGTACCAGCGGGACTTGCTGGAGTTGCCAGCCCTGACAGCCTCGGCGGGGTTTGGGATGCTGAGCAATCCCGTATCTTGACCTGACCCAGCTCTGTATTCCCAGTTTGCTGAGCCGCCGCTGCAGGAGCGCTGGAACAAAAACAACGCGGAGCTCCGAGAGGTGATGTTGCTTTCTCTTGAGTCCCTGCTGCCTTGTATTTATTAAACTGGTTTTTAACTTGAAAATCATCATATCTCTACTGTGGTTGCTCATCTTACATCACAGCAACTGCCCCAAGTTCTGATAAACAAAAGGCAAAGAAGTGAAAGGGTTTAAGTTTAAATAGTTTTAAGAAGTTCTCTCAAAGCTGTATTTTTAAAAGTCAGAAATCTATTCAGACTCTGAGCAAATTTCCAGAACTCACAATGTAAATATCTCAGGCACATAAAATATAAATAATACAAAAAATATAAATCTTAATATCTCAGCTGTACCTGCCATGCTGTGGTGCTTCCTCATTCTTCATTCCACCCACATACTGCTCCAACATCGCAGTCCTGTATCACTGTCACTGTGGTGTTTCCCATGTGACAATGACCCTCAGGACCTGGTGGGCACCTTGGACACTCAGATGAGCCCACCTCTGCAGAGGCAGATACTCCTGGGGTTTCAGGTGCTGCTCCAGAGAGTCTGGAAGGTCCTAGGGGACAGAACCTCTGGCACTGATGGCCCTGTTACATCTGTTGTGTCTCCAGGCAGAGTCTGAGCTGCACGGGAAGCACATGAGGGAGGCTTGGAGGGATCAGCTAACACAAGAAAACAAGGTATGGGGGCAGCCCTGGTGTTCTGGTCACTGGGAGGGCTCTGAAATGTGTGTGGGTGGAGGGTGACACTTATGCCATGGGAGCTGCTGCCAGGAAGGGCACTGTTAACAAAGCCATCCGGCTTGCTCTGTGGATTTTCTGAGCCAGAAGTTGTCTCTTTGTGTCAGGCTAACCTGAAATGCTGTTTTCTTTTCTTTGGGAAAGGAAGAAGGGACCAAGCTTGTAGAGAAGAAACGTTATGAAAACAGGTACGAAACGGCAGGAGGGGAAGCGCTGGAAGGAACGAGACAAGAGGAAGAGAAGCCTCAGCTGGAGAAGACCTTGCTTCAGCAGATAGAAGAACTGAAACTGCAGGAGACAAAGGTAATCTTGACTTTCTCCTCATAGGAGAAAGGAATTTGTTGCTTCACTTGGAAATACAGCAAGGCTGACCTGACCTCTCCATGTTTGCACTGCAGGGAGGGTTTTCCCTGCCTGCAGAGGAGCAGAGCAGGGTACAAACGCTGGTCAAGCATGCTGTCTGGGATGTTGTACTCTCTCTTGGTGCTTGTGTTTTCCTTTTTAGGCAACAAAGCTGAAAAAGGAACAAGAGAATTTATTAAAGCAGCGGTGGGAGCTGGAGAATTTGGAAGAAGAAAGGAAACAAATGGAAGAGCACCGGAGGAAGAAAGAGCTTGGGTAGGAGCTTGTTCTGGATAGAATCTGTTCCTGTGCCCACACCACTGCTTGGGGCACAAGGAGATATTCCAGGTAGCAGTGGTAGGATGTAAATAAATATCTGGGTTTTGGTGGACTTGCCCACAGCAGCCTAGGAGCAGAGGCACTGGTGCTGTTACTGCTTTTTGTTTCTGGTAGCATTGTCACAGATGTACCTCCCCAGGTGCTGCTCTACAAAGATGTGCTGCTTTAGAGTCAGTGTGAATGTTGCTTTTTTTTTTAATTTTGCTTTTTTCCTCCTTCAGTCGCTTTTTGAAGCATCAGTGTGACGTCCAGTTAAGGAGACGAGCGCAGCAGGTACAGGAGGAGCTGGTAAGAGATTAATTTATACTTTATAGATGCTGTGTGATGAAAAAGTTGTTGTGTGTGGTTTGTGTCTGCCTCTGATTCCTACAGATTAGGAGGCCCCTTCCAGCTTGTGCACAGGGCTGGAGCACAGAGCTCACAGGGAAGCAGCAGATGGAGCATCTTGCTGAGCACACCCTTGACACTGTCCCCAGTAATGCCTAGAGGAGCCCTGCACACAGGCTGGAAGGCTGTTGGATAGTTGTTAATCCCATGTTTTTTTCTCCAGGAGACAGACAGGCAAATCTTATCAGTCCTCCTGGAGAAAGAAGAGGAGGATCAGAGCTGGCAGAGTGCGCAGCGGGGACGCGCGGTGGCAGACGTGGCCTGGATGAAGAAGGTCATTGAGGAACAACTCCAGCTGGAAAAGGAGAGGGAGGCAGAGCTTGAGACTATCTTCAGGTGAGTCTGTCCACCTCTGAACCTCACCTGAAGACTCCATGTGTGCTGAGTGTTCCAGGCCAGGGGGGTCACTGAGAGGTACAGGTGGGATAGACACACCAACAGGCAGGGAACAAACCTGAAGAGAAACCCAAGGTCTCCTCTAAAGCACAGGATAGCTTGTCTGTGCCTGTGGGGTATACAGGGGGGTTAACCTCAGAGATAATTCCTCCTCTCTCCTTTAGGGAAGAAGCAAAAAAAATGTGGGAGAAGAGGGAAGAAGAATGGGAAAGAGAGAAGGTGGCCAGAGATCGCCTGATGAGTGAGGTGATGACCTCTCTTGATGATGTGTCCCCCTTGGCTCAATGAAGCCATCATTCCACTGGTAACCCACCACTCTCTGGAGAGCTACAGCCTTCCACACCAGGGTGGAATGGAATTTTTTTGCTTTGTCTGGTGTGTTTCCTGGGAGCTGTTTCACCATCTCCTCCCTTTGCACAGGTCCTTGCAGGCAGGCAGCGCCAGATCCAAGAGAAGATGGAGCTGAACAGGAGGGCCCAAGCAGAGTCCATTAAATATCGAGAGCAGCTGATCAAAGAACTGGAGGAGGCCAAGGAAGGGACTCAGCAGGAGCAGGAGCAGCAGAGAGCCCACGGGAGGGAGCTGCAGGCACAGGTAGGCTGAGCTCCCTCATACACACCTGGCTGCTGAGGCTGCCCCATCTCACCCCATTTCCCCTGCACAGGGGACAGAGCTCAGCCTGGGAGAGGAGCAGCAGCAGCAGGAGGGATCAGGCCGGCAGCACCTGGAGGCCAGGCAGGGCTGGCACAGCAGGGTAAGGTCACACCCTGGCACAGGGGTCACCCCAACACAGGAGCCCATCTTTGGAGAGTGACACCATCATTGTCTCTGATCTGCACTTTAGACAGCACAGTGCTAGGGCACTTCCCCTCACAGAACTCTACACTTCTCTCTTTTCTTTTTTTGATGATATTTATATATTAGGCCTTAATTTTTAAAGAATTTTTGAGGCAGATGTGTTGCTAATGCCTCAAATCTTGCTCTGTGCTGAAAAGGATTTATTTTAAGTGCATTAGTGCAGTTGGTACAGTGCAACTTCCCTGCTCAGTGTCTTTGTTGACTGTCCTGCTTTGCCTGGCTCTAAAATCAAATTTGAGTAACCCTACCTAAAGCCCCTGCCCAGCCCATCAGCTCCTGTGCATGCTCAAGAGTTTGTGTGGATTAATTCCAGAGCCCCTAAACCTGTGCTAATCTTTGTTTTGACCCCATTAGTTCTACAGTTACCCAAGAGCAGCTTGGACCTGAGGAATGAGCATGAGATGCAGCTCCAGACTACAGAAAGAAAACTCTGAGGACTCAAGGAACTCCTGAAATAATGATGCCTCTGGAACACCCTACTGTGAGATCAAGACTTGACTCAATAGATTTCTGAAAACATTTAGTTGTGGCCAAGCTGAAGAGAAGTTCTACTGTCTTCAGGAATGTGGAGGTGTGAGCACCTTCAGAGAAGTGAACTGCTTCACTTTGCATTCTGGAGTTGTGCTCATGTATTTTGGTATGTGAGAGGCTGAAGCAATCCAGCAGAAAAAAAAAAAAGGGCCCTGTGGACCTGAGCCACAAGAGAATCTGTGTCTCCCCAGGAAGAGGAGCTGTGGGGCTGTGTCACTCCCACCTTGGAGAATCAGGCTGTGCCTGGCTTCCCACTGGACTGTGAGGAGTTAATTAATAATGTATATTGCAAATCAGCCAGATCGTGTGTGCTGTGGCAGCAGTGCTTGGCCACTTCCTCTCCAGAAGGTGCTGGAGATTTAAACATTGTTTTTCACTTGTTTCATAAATAATGAATAATTGAAACCTGAACAAGGATTTGGTTTTGTTACATGAGCAAACTACAGCAGCAACAGGAGAGGAGGCTGAGTTGATTATTGCAGTTCATTCCTTGCTGTTACCATCCACAACTGCAGCTTGACATCAGTCCTGTCACAGTGCACAAGGAGCTGCTACAAAGACTGGCAGCACTTTACTCAAGAGTAGAAACCTTTCCAGAGATCTTTAGAGAACCAGCAGTGAAATAAGCCCACATTATTTCACACACTGAAAGGGTTTTAGCATTTTATAGTAATACTGTAAACAAAAGATTAAAAGTCAAAATATTGTACAGACAGAATGACACTGATAAATACAAGGTTTGGAAAAAGGCAAAAAAAGCTTTTCCTTTCCTCTGCAGCATTTTGTAAAGGAAGAGCAAGTTTGTTTACAGGGGAACAAGAGATCTAGTCCTAAAAGAAAAACACACCTTTGTTACTGGAGGTGCTACAAACTCTGTGACTGCAGTGCTGTGAGTGGAGGGTTCATGAACTTGCTGCTGGGGGTTCCTGTGGGGTGTGGACCACTCTGATTTCAGTGTAGCTGGAGCAGGGGCTGGCAGTTACTGAAGTGTCCCCTTGGTTTTGGATCAAAGGCAGGTTTAAATAAGTGATAAATTACACCATAGCTCAGTGTCACCCTGCTTTGGGAAGCAGGTAAGATATGTTAAAGAACAGCACACAGTGGTGTCCTGGGAGACTGAAAAATACCATCTGCTGCCTTCAGCCATTATTTAAGGAAAAGTTCCTAGAAGATTCTCAATGTGCTTAATTAATTGCCAGTTGCATGATTTTGAAGTAGGTTTCACAAAGGTCATTTGCAGTTTTAATCCCAGCCTGCCTCTGCTGTCAGCCTAGAGCTGCTTCTGGGGTTCAGAAGGGCAGAAAGGAAATAAAACACCACAGTGAAGAACATTAATTTACTGGGCTGTCATCTCCTCTCTCCATTCCTTCCCTCCCTCAGCCTCTGGGAGCCAGACAGCACCAGGAATCCAGCAGTGCTGTGGCACTTGTGCTTGGAGATATCCACACAACCACACCATGGCTGGCTGTGACAACACAATTCCAAATGGGACATCGGCAAAAATCAGTGATTTCCTGCACCACCTAAAATTCAGACTCCCAAAATTATTCTCGATTTTTAGATTATGGACTGACACACTCCTGTGAACTGTTATGGGTGAAGAAACCTGGAGCACACATGGCCACTGGGGCCAGGCAGCCTGGCAGGGGTTACTCAGCAAGTTGTCAAATTTTGAAAGATTTGCATAAAAAACTTCGAGGAGATAAGAGAAACGTTTTCACATTTGGATATGTTGAGGTACAGAGGTTATGTGCTGTGGCAGACACAGCTGCTTTTGCACTGGCACTCTTCTAACTTCCTTTTTTTTTTAATAAGCACAGAAATCTTTAGTGAAATTGCATCTGGAGTTACTGAGAAATGCTGCTGCAAACAAGACCTCAAAGATGACAGGAAAATTCTGCAGGAAACTTAATTACTAACTCAGAAACAAAGGATAATATTTTAACCACTAATGCCCTAAAATAACATCAAACATATATTAATGGCATAGTGACAACTAAAAGAAATAACTATTAAGTTTCAAATTCCTTCCAAAACATAAAGTGACAAAGACCTTGTAGAGCTACACGTAACAAGCTTGGATGCCCACAACTACTACTGGTTTACAGACTAAAAAAAAAAAGAAAAAAAACAAACATATTGCACAACAGTTGATATGGGAACAGAGAACGTTGGGCTCGCACCCCGTTACCAGGACAAACCTTCTTCCTGCTGGGAGCAGTCCTGGAGCCTGGGGAGCCTCAGCCAGCAGGATCCCAGCATGGGGAGGGCTCCAGAGGGATGGAAATGCTGCTCTGCCATCCGTGCAGTGGTGTCAGAGCAGCTCCACCAGCAGGATCTGAAAGCAGAACGTGGCCCCAAGGAAACATCTACAGCGCTGGGACATGAGAGTGGCTCAACAGCTACTTGCAACATGCTATTATCCATAACTACACTGGCAACACAGGCACAAAATAAGGCAGTGGGTTAAATTAATCATAAAATTGTTAGAAAACATGCAAAAATAATACTGAGTTTAAAAAAAAAAAAAAAAAGTTTCTTGCCCCTTGAATTTTTTTCTCCTCGTAAAAATGCGCATAGTTCCACACCTAGATGTTGAAATCCAACTTTAAAAAAAAAACCCCAGAGTAAAAAGCCTCGAGCGGCTCAGTTGTTGTTCTCTTTGGTTGTGATGGTGACCAGCTGCTTGGCGGCCTTGGCGATGTCGTAGGCGCACTGGATGACCTGCTGTGTCACCAGCTGCATGTCGGGCGCCGCGCTGGGCTCGGCGGGCAGCGCCTTCCTGCACTCCGACTGCAGCCTGTAGGCGCTGGAGGTCAGCAGCCGCAGGGAAGTCCTCACCAGCTCCGACTTGGGCTTCTGGGAAGGGAAAAAACAGACGCTGCGACAGGCAGAACAACACAACCTTTTAATTAGCGTGCTCACAAGGGCTCTTTGATGCGGCCGAGCCCTGATTCCCCTGGTGGCAGCGGGCGGAATTTCTCCCTCCTCTCGGGAGATCCCCAAGGGCTGCCAGGCAGCAGGCAGGGATTTTGCTCCGTGCCTTTCCTTAGGAAGTTACTCATGCACATTTCTGGTGGCTGTTTACTGTCCCAGCCCATGTCCTGGCTGGCAGGAGGGGACAGCATGTCCAGGGTGATGGGTGCAGGCGGGACAGCAGCCTTGGCTCTTTCCTTGCAGTTTTGGAGAAGTGGGTAAAGACTTCACAAGAACTTGGTCATGGGGATTTCAGTCCCTAAATCCCCATGACCAAGTTCTTGTACAGTCTTTACCCGCCTCTCCAAACAGATCACTTTGATGGGTGGGTGGATAACAGATCTAAACGTGGCTGCAGGAAAGAAATCCAGGTGATGGCACTCAGATGGAAAAGGGGGTGATGAGTCTGGTGAAATCCCCATATAACCACACAACTCTTCATGCCAGATCCAGTTTTGTACAATTCTTAAAGAGTTTTACATTCGAGAGTACAATTAAAGGCCTGGACTCCCACTTCAGCCTTTCCCAGTTGCCATGCTAATAAATACAAAGGTGCATCATAAAACCCCATCACATTTCTCTCTACCGTTTGCATTTTGAAGGGAGAAAATTTTTGATTTTCATTCTGAAGGGGAATTACACATGAAGATTGAGGCCAAAACTGATGGTGGCAGGTACTTACTTTTGGGAACAAGGCTGCCATCTCTGTCACTGCCACATGTATTCTCTCGGAGCACGGTATATAGCTGCAGAAAGATGCCCTGGGTTATTCATTGTGTAGAGACCCCCCCTTCCCTCCTCCACTTCACTGCTCAGTGATTGTTATTCTAAAAACAACCATGTGACTTCAGAAAAAGCGACAACTTAACCAAAAGTGCAAAATTATTGCTTAGATTTTCGTTGTTTTTCGGAGTTGGTTTGAAGGAATAATTTTCCATACTTTTTTTATATAAAACTTTGTTAGGAAAGTCTCCATTTGTGTGCAACTCCAGAACACCAAGATGCCTTCTTGGATTAATTAACACCCAGTAAACAGACAAGGCAAATTCTTACACACATGCATCCCCAAACTACCAACTGCACTCACAGTCTGTGAATTCTAAATATTCACTAATTCTGATGAGTTATTTAATAAAATAAAACAGATTCCATGAATCCTCACAGATTTCACTTCTGATTTATATACCAAATGAAAACTGGTCTGTTCAAAATAGTACTATTTCCCATGAACTGCTGTGAATAGTGAAGTGTTAGTGTGCTCTCTCACAAATCTCATTTCAAAAGACTCACTTTTAATGCTTCAAAAACTCAATTTTAGCATAAGTTAGTTCACATGAGAATCTCAAAACTCACAAAGCATTCAAGAAAACTATTCAGCATGTGTGGGTTATGGTAGGCCAGTGCCCTTTCAAGCAAAAAGAGCCCCCAAACCCACCCCCCCCCCCAGTCATTATTTGTTTGATCTTCTTGAACACCAAAGGTGCAAAAAAATCATTCACTTGCAAATGCACTGAGAGAAAAGCAACACACTGGGGTCATTTTGGCAATGCAGGAAAATTGCTTCAAAAGGAGTATTTCCATGTGTCTCAAGTCACATGAGTTCTCCCAAATAAACTAAAAGTGGAGAGAGGTCTTCCCAAGTTCAGCACAATTCCCCTTCTGCTGTGGAGTTAATGATTAATCTGCTCCCTGCAGTCACAGTGACCAGCACCCTACCTCATTAAAAAGTCAATTTACTGATTAAACCCTTCACTAACAAGGCAGAGAAAGCCCTGAGAATAACCTGAATGAGACACTCAGGTGAATAATGGTTTCACTGTATGTTCTCTAGGTCAGCTGCTAAATTTCCAGTGTAGCCTGGAGGAATGGCTTTAGTTTAATGTCTAAACACTCACTGTGAGATGCTCTGACACTGTGTTGGGTTTACACACACTCCAGTGAGACATCAGGAAGATATTCAAGTAGTGACAGCTTGGGAAAGGAATCCCTCATTAGCAGTAAATTGTGTTAATCTCTTCCTCCAATCCTGACAATTTGTTGGCTGGGGTTTGAACCTGGGCAGTTCTGTTTTAAAGAGCCTCTCATGCAAATGTCACTTTTATTTTAGGCACTAACAATGTTTTGGTCAGGTTGGAAGATACCATAAACACACTTTTTTTTTCAAGGATTTGGGATACAAATGATCTCATTTGACCCCCAGTTGTATAAACACTCCAAGGGCCTCAGCTGTCAGGTGTGAATGTTCCACTTTGGAAATGTGAAACTCCTGCTACTTTTGCAATGGTGCTAAGAAGCAGCAACCACGTGTTTTGTTCATAAAATCATGGAATGGTTTGGGTTGGAAGGGAACCTTAAAACCTCAAAGATTTCTTCCTAAAGGAAGAAATTCTTCCCTATGAGGGTGAGGAGGGCCTGGCACAGAGCAGCTGTGGCTGTCCCATCCCTGGAAGTGTCCGAGGCCAGGCTGGGTGGGGCTTGGAGCAGCCTGGGACAGTGGAAGGTGTCCCTGCCCATGGAGGAGGTGGAACAAGGTGGTCTCCAAGGTCCCTTCTAACCCCAACTATTCTGTGATTCCACGAACCAACCAAGTTGTAATTTAATTTATCTTGACAGGCAATAAAAACCAAAACAGAGCCAGGAGAATACACCAGAGCCAGCTGCAGCTCCAGGCTGTGGTTCTGTTCCCCACTGACACCTGCTGGGAGCTGAAGGGGCTGTGCCACACCCCAGGCCTGGAGGGGCTGCCTGCAGCTCCCTCATCCCCTGCAGCATTTCATGCATCGCCTTCCACGACCCCTGTGCAGCCAGAGAGGGAGGGAAAGAGGCAGCAGAGAGAAGGAGAAAGGACACTGTGCCTGGGAGGCAGGGACAGAGGCCAGAGTACCAGGAGGCAGGGCCGGGCTGCTGGCTGCTCTGAGGCTGCAGGGGCACTCGCTCAGGGCCGAGGCTGGGTCTGAG